CATGAATTAAAGCAAACTATTTATTCACACTGGACAGCTATTTGCTTGCACTTGTATTTATTGTTTAGTAAATAGATATATATGGAAAGCCTGTGATAGACCAGCACAGTCAGCTTTTTGCCCTATCACAGCTGGGATAGGCTCCGTGTCCAGCTGGGCTCTGGTAGCGCACACTGACCAGTGAAATCACCGATGTTTGTGCTCATAAATTAAGGCGTTATTTATGGTGATGATATTATTATGTTAATTAGTCCCGGTTAGTAACTCTGGCCCAAAATGTCCAAGCTGTCACACGTAAGCATTCACAGCTGTACCGGTGTCCTCATCACAAGCCTGTGGGCCCCCACCCTACCTCGCTGAAACCTCAGCCACTTACTGCTTCCAGCTTAAGTGGACTCTAATAAAGTTGCTCTTTGATGCATTAATAACTTCTTCCCTTCTGGGCTGCGGGGCCAACTTCCGAACAGCACTCTGCATATCCTTGCCTGACATGCACATCTTTAATTATTTCTTTCTGTGAGGGTTGGATTGAAACGAGGGGAACAGGAAAGTGATGACATATTTCTAATGAATCCTTGAAAAAATAATACTGCTGTCTAAGCTTAAGGCATCCTGAAGAAGCCTTAGTGAGAGAAGTGGAGCACAGAAGAAAGGAGGAGCACTCCAAGTTTTATTATCTGTACTGGTCAGCTGGCTCAATGAGAACTTAGAATGAGAATTATGTTATTAGAAGTCTATCATTCTATATTATAATTATGCAAATAGAATTCTATAATTCCATTTCAATTCTATTTAATTCTATTTTATTTATACAGCACCAACAAGCATCTTTAAGAAGTGTGGGGACAGTGCCGTTTCATTACAACAGAAGAAGTCGATAAATCAAAAAGAGGACTGGGCGCTGGAGTGATCGTTAAGGGTCTGTGGTGGTCACAGAGCCACAGGACGGAGTGCGAGGGTGCTCTCCTAAAGCTTAGTGGTTGGTAATTATAAAGTGAATATTCATAAGTCAGAGTGCAGTATGCTGGTGCAATAAGACTGAGAACACCATTCAGTTACTGTACTTCTCACTTTGATGAAAATGTGTTTTCCAACACAAACACTTACCTTTACTACTGGGGTCATGGAGGGAGGAGTTTCATTTTACATCTGTATAAACACAGGGTCTTAGCTGCACTCCTCCGAACAGATTCCTCTGATGTTGCTCCTGAAATCTGCTGGAGCCACTCAGGTAACCATACCTGTCAATGCTCATTTTACCATTGGGACCACTGGGGACCTTCCACACCTGCTCCGCTTCAGCCCCCAGTACCACTTCCTGATGTTCCCGGAGGATTCCCACAGATGTCACTGCTGTGGTCTTCTGTTCCTTGTCAAACACCGCTGTCTTGTTGGTTGGCCAGTATCTGCTTTTTTCTGGGCCACAGGACCTTGGCCTTCAGATGTGTCTCCCAGCAGGAGTTTGGGACTAGTGCTCAGGTTGGTCCTCCTGGTCTTGCAGTCCTGGTGTACTGGTCTATGAACCAGTAGCTGGTGCTTCTGAGCTGCACTGATGCACTCACTCATATGTGCCTACTCAGCTTGGCTGCTTTGATGGCTAAGGGCGAAGCGTCCCTGTGGTGGAGAGGGAGATAATCATCTGGCAGTTTGGGGTTTCTGCGCTCTGAGGTTGACCTCCACTTAAGATAAATGTCAAAGGTCAACTTTTTGGAAAATTACGTAGAATTTTCAAATTTATACCAGGAGGGTTAGCAGAGACGGCCGCAGTATTGTTGAATCTTACATTTTCTTCCAGGCTGTGGCACATTTGCTGCGATCAGTGTTGGGATGGTTACTTTAAAATGTGTTCCATTACAGATTACATGCCCCAAAATGTATTTTGTAACGTATTCTGTTACGTTACTCAATGAGAGTAACGTATTCTGAATATGTTGGATTACTTAATATATTATCATGCTTTTTTACAACTACATGAATGTCCTATTGCTGTGTGATTTACTACTATTACTGAAGGTTACTCTCCACACCAACACCAACTAGACGTTTAAATCTTAATATAAATGAGTAACAGTAGGTGGACATTAGGTAAGGCTGCACTTTTTGCAGCGATCTCGTATAGAAAACTATTCGTATATAAAACAGGTCCGCGGCTCCGAACCGTAGTAAAGGGACCTCTGGCTGATACGTCGGGTTCGTGTCGGCTCGTAGCTGAAAACTAGCTTTACTTTGTTGTCTGGGTCACTTTGCTAGCGAGAGACAGAGAGAGGCGTTGAAAGGCTGCTGCAACGGAGCTTATTGTTTCAGAGGAAAACAGGAACACAGCGTACAGTCGAGTCTTAACAGCTTACTCACAGCTGGGCCTACACCGCCCATCAGGCTGCATTTTTACAGCTATGTCTGTAACACTGAGCCTATTTTTTTATATTAAATAATTTTTTGAACAATAATTTTTACAAATATTTCTTCACGTCATGAATTAAAGCAAACTATTTATTCACACTGGACAGCTATTTGCTTGCACTTGTATTTATTGTTTAGTAAATAGATATATATGGAAAGCCTGTGATAGACCAGCACAGTCAGCTTTTTGCCCTATCACAGCTGGGATAGGCTCCGTGTCCAGCTGGGCTCTGGTAGCGCACACTGACCAGTGAAATCACCGATGTTTGTGCTCATAAATTAAGGCGTTATTTATGGTGATGATATTATTATGTTAATTAGTCCCGGTTAGTAACTCTGGCCCAAAATGTCCAAGCTGTCACACGTAAGCATTCACAGCTGTACCGGTGTCCTCATCACAAGCCTGTGGGCCCCCACCCTACCTCGCTGAAACCTCAGCCACTTACTGCTTCCAGCTTAAGTGGACTCTAATAAAGTTGCTCTTTGATGCATTAATAACTTCTTCCCTTCTGGGCTGCGGGGCCAACTTCCGAACAGCACTCTGCATATCCTTGCCTGACATGCACATCTTTAATTATTTCTTTCTGTGAGGGTTGGATTGAAACGAGGGGAACAGGAAAGTGATGACATATTTCTAATGAATCCTTGAAAAAATAATACTGCTGTCTAAGCTTAAGGCATCCTGAAGAAGCCTTAGTGAGAGAAGTGGAGCACAGAAGAAAGGAGGAGCACTCCAAGTTTTATTATCTGTACTGGTCAGCTGGCTCAATGAGAACTTAGAATGAGAATTATGTTATTAGAAGTCTATCATTCTATATTATAATTATGCAAATAGAATTCTATAATTCCATTTCAATTCTATTTAATTCTATTTTATTTATACAGCACCAACAACAGCAGTCGCCTCAAGGTGCTTTATAATGTAAGGTAGAATAATACACAATAATAAC